AAATTATTGGAGTATGTTTCTTTGTAAATAATTGTAAAATTTACTAGCAATTTCTCAATACATTGTTTCTACACCTTTTTTAGTGTATCTGTCACTGCTTGTGGAACTTGCATCAAGCCTGACAGACGTCTTATTTCAACCCCTATTATACGTGAGTAGAGTTCATTCAATTTTTATTTTGTTTAATAAATGCCTTTTTGAAAAACATTGCTGAGCACTACACTGCTTATGCATGCAACACGTTTCAGTGCGCCATGTCGTCTATATTGCAGTAAGATCCAATCTGTGTAAATTCATTAAAAACACATTTATGCTTCCCACGTTGGTCAGTTCTTCCTTTTGTTGGAAAGCAGATACATTCAAATGAGGTCTTCTCTTTTCATTTCACTTTTGACTTCAAGGTCTTGTTTTTCCTCTTATCTTGCAGCTTTCCCATCTTTTCATAGAGTCAGCAGCACTAGCTATCCTTCCTACGGTTAGCTGAAGGAGTGCTGTAACTACCCATGAACCCTTGCTGCAGCCTTTTCTTTGTCAGACTAAAAGAACCAGAAGGTCAATCTCAGGGTGGCTGTGACATCATCTTCAGATTGAATGAAGTTGAAGGAACTCTTTGAAAGAGAACATCTATTCAACCAAGTCTCAAAAAGAAAATCATTTCTGCAAACCTCACACTCCGAATCCACCATCACATCCACCTGTTGAAGGTTTCGGAGATTGGTTTGGTCCGAGCTGTGGCTTGTCTTCAGGTGGGATTTGCTGATGAACATCTCTTAATCAAGCTGCAATTGTTTTGAGCATGACCCTGCTTGACCCGGTTAATGGGAATGGCCCTGATTAACCATGTGTGCTCAGTCACACAGTGGGAGGCGCCGCCCACACCCACGAGTCATTGGTTCATTAATTAATTTATTAATTAAAGGGTAACAATGAAGCAGAAACAAAGAAGCAGCCAAAGGACAATGAGGGGAGTGATGGTCCTTCTGCATTATGCTGTTAAAAATGATTTATGTGCATACTCATGGTGATTGATAATTATGAAACATCAAGCTATAAGCTATATCAAATTTCTCACAATTTGAAATTAAGCATTGAATTAGGAAAGAAACATATTGCGATATGTAACGTAATGATAAATATAATAGGAGAGGAAAGGTGGCATGATTTTTTTTTTTAGAGATACAGTATTTGATGGACAATGTTATAGTTGCAGTGAGTTAAAAAAAAAAAAAAACCTGACCTCTCTCTAATCACTGAAAAAAGTATTCCTAGAAGGAAAAAGTCAGAATTGCGGGATATAAACTCACAATTGCGAGGTAAAACATTACAATTCTGAGAAACTTGCAATTGTGAGGAAAAATGTCAGAATTGCTAGATATAAACTCGCAATTGTGAAGAAAAAAGTCAGAATTTCGAGATATAAACTCGCAATTGTGAGGAAAAAAGTCAGAATTGCGAGAGATAAACTCGCTATTGTGAGGAAAAAAGTCAGAATTGTGAGATATAAACTCGCTATTATGAGGAAAAAAGTCAGAATTGTGAGAGATAAACTCGCTATTGTGAGGAAAAATGTTAGAATTATGAGAATCTTGCAATTGTTAGGAAAAAAGTCAGAATTGTGAGAGATAAACTCGCTATTGTGAGGAAAAATGTTAGAATTATGAGAATCTTGCAATTGTTAGGAAAAAAGTCAGAATTGTGAGAGATAAACTCGCTATTGTGAGGAAAAATGTTAGAATTATGAGAATCTTGCAATTGTTAGGAAAAAAGTCAGAATTGTGAGAGATAAACTCGCTATTGTGAGGAAAAATGTTAGAATTATGAGAATCTTGCAATTGTTAGGAAAAAAGTCAGAATTGTGAGAGATAAACTCGCTATTGTGAGGAAAAATGTTAGAATTATGAGAATCTTGCAATTGTTAGGAAAAAAGTCAGAATTGTGAGAGATAAACTCGCTATTGTGAGGAAA